AACAAGAAAATAAATTATTTGATCTAGGTTAAATTGAGCGATACGCGAGAAAGAAATCGATAGAGCTATAAAGAGAACAATCAATCGTTTATAGTCAAGTTAAAGACAAGATATCTATTGAGTCTTTCACAAATACATTCTTCGGACTTGAAAATTTCATAAAAACACCGTTTTCAGTAGAGAAAATTCTTGGATACAAACAACAATTTTGTAATGATGAACTGGCAGAAATCCGGTTCTGTCCGGCCCGGTTTAACTTCTTGTCCGGTCTTGTCCGGTCCGGCCGGACCGGAGCCGGATTGCCGGACCGGTTCCAACTCTGATATAAGGCATCTTTACTTGTACAATTCTCCGTCACTTCGCCTCTGCTTGTTGCACGTTCGATTCAATTGTTTTTAAAAAAAAATAAAGTATCTATATGAAATTCCAGTTTTTTGATATTTAATTATTTATCGGAGAATCCTGAATGGAAGTCGTTTTTTATTAATGACTTGAAAAAATTCTATTTATTAATTATTGAAAATTCACGAATCATTCAATGTCCCCATTAGAGCCCATCGAGTCCAAAAATTTTTGGACCCGATAGACTCTAGTTCCTCCTTGTGTCGATATTGATATTATCTTCCTTTCCTCTTTGTTTTCCTCTCTATTGTTCTTTCCTGTGTTCATCACTCTCTCTTATATAAACGTTTAATTTCTGAATAGGTCTCCTTATCCGAAGAGATCCTTTAAACGCTGTGACTAAAATTTTTGATATGCTCTAAGTAAATAAACAGCATTACCGAAGGTGGTGGTAAGCTACTCAATCCAGTTTATCATTACACTCATATCCCTATTATCAGAAAACGATTATAACGAAAATTTATACTCATTGCAGAAGAACAAAAAAAAATACTGTATAAACAATGTTTCTATTTTTATATGTTAACGTTATTTCTTACTAGAAAATTACAAAAATGCTATTCTAATCTCAACTAGATTTCAAACTCGCCTGCCACATATACAAAACATTCATCAACATGACAATTGAAGAATTTGGAAGAGAAGATTTACTGAATATTAAAAAAATTGCTATGACTATGTCAAAATTAATCCCGTCATATATTGTCAATACTTAAATTTTCAATGTTCCAATACTGTTCAAACATTATAAAGATGATTTACAAATTGATAACACTTAAATAATTCAAGATTTAACTTTGAACTATTCGATAATAGAAAGTAAGTTGATTTGGGCCTGATTATTGTGTGCTGTTCTCTTTCGAAATGTTCGATTTAATATCATTGAAACAGAAACATAAAGTCAAAAAGTTTCAACAAAAAGTTATTTTAGAAATATTTTTTGTTCATTTGAAGAATGTCCCGCATGATAATGGATATTATTTACATTGATTAAAAAAAAAGATACTATTTTGTAGCGAATTTTGTCTATAGATAACTACAAAGTGTTCTGATAAAAGCTCTAAAAGGTATTGAGATTTGATTGACAAGAGAAGTTTTCGAAATGATTAATTACTTTTAAGTTAGGACTATCATATAGACCCTAATGAGTTGTGAATATCATGAAAAGAGCTTCGAGCCCATAGCTTATTGCCATCGAAATCAAAATTCAAAGTTTAGTTTTCCTGTGAGGAACCATAGTATTTATTTCCAAAAAATACCGTAAAAAACAACATGTCTACAGCAATAAGCTATGGGTCCAAACTTTTTTCGGGTCGTAAGCTATTGTTTTTTTTCTAGATGCTTCAGATTTTCGGAAAATTTGTATTTTAGAATTTTCATCTGAAACATTGCGCATATAGAAAACTCAACTAGACTAGCTTCTATAAAAAAAAAAATTCGGAAATTTTGAATAAAGTCATATAGACTCTTTTTCCATGGATATGCATTTTTTGAAAGCTTCATATCTTGAAAAAATTTTGTTCAAAACTTTTGAATTTTTCTTTATAGAAGTTAGTCTAGTTGAACGTTCTATATGCGCAAAGTTTCAGATCAAAAATCTAAAATACAAGTTTTCCGAAAACCTGATACCTCTAAAAAAACAAATTCGATAGTTTAGTCAATTCTCGAAACCTTTTTGAGGTTTTTATTACAATACTATCTATAGACAACAAAAAAAATCATTGAAATCAGAAGAGGACATATGATAAAATTCTCTGGTAGGTTCAAACGGGGTTGAAACCGGTTTGGTCTGGCCGATTAAAAGTTGCTCTTGAACCGGTGAATTTTCGGCAAATCGCACGGTAACTGATGAAGCTGATTTCTTGAAAGTTATTCCAGATAGTCAAACTATGCTAGAAATAGAATCGATGACGTCAATTCCAGCTTTGAACTTGATTAGCTAATGGTTAAATAGAACTATTCAACCTGTTTGATACAGGTCTTCATATTATAGATGTAGACAGCTGAAAATTTTGTCTTTTCTCATTAACTTTCAAAGAATAAGATCATCTTCTGAAGAAATTCGGCTAAGAAAAACTATTTTGAAAATATATTTTAGAGAATTTCAGTTCTTGATGAAATATGATTAAAACTTTCAACAAGCATGTAGGAAACAGATGTGTAATCGTTACAATGCATCAAAGGTGTCATCTTAGACAAGATCAACGCCCACACCCTTATTTCATCTTCTTTATAGTAAAATTCATAAAATACTTTTTTTTTTTGTTACAAAAAGACACTTAAATAAAGGTATTTATTTTTAAATTTCAACCGGCAAATTTCCGGTACGGTCCGGCCGGACCGGTTCCAACTCTGGATTCAAATCAACGAATATTACAAGAAATATCATAAACTACTAAGAGGTATATTAATCATAAAACACTTGTTATTTTATCACTATGTCGGAAGTGATAAGGTTATCATATATAATAGAGATAATTTAATATTCGTAAATAAATATACAGAGGGTAAACATATGATTATTATAACAAAGAATAATCTTGCTTATATTCAACATTTCAATTAAAATTTTATGTCATTGCACCATGGCGTCCTCTTTTACCTTGTAAAAGTTACTTTACATATCTCGAATAGCAACATATACTGTCATGGTTTTTCTTCCTTCCATCTTTCTCTTTCTCTTCTATATGATTTAATGGAATTTCTTCTATAAAAAGGACACTTAATGTTAAGTGAGCGAACAGTACAAGTCTCATAGTGCTACAGTATCGTTTTTTTTTTTTTGGTTGTTGTTCGTCTTATCTGTTTTGTTTTTTCTTCTATAACTTGCTTTTAGATTGATTGTTCGATTAAGAAATAACGATTTATGGCTGCAAGTGAAACCGTTCGAGTTATTTTACGATGTCGACCGATAAACCAACGTGAAATTGATTTAAAATGTCAAGTAAGATAATTCTTCTAGATAAAATTCATAGTAGAATTTTTATTCAATTTTTAGACCATAGTTTCAATGAGGGCAGAATTAAATCAAGTTCTATTAGAACATGTTGAACAAAGTAATGAACCACCAAAACAATTTACATTCGATGCAGTTTATCCAGAAGATTCAATAACTGAAAATATTTATGCTGAATCAGTTTTTCCACTTGTTGAAAATGTAAATTAAATATAAATAATAAAAAAAAAAAGGAAAAAGAAAAAGAACAAGTTTTTTTTTTCTTTTAGGTACTCGAAGGATATAATGCAACAGTATTTGCTTATGGACAAACAGGGTAAATCTTTTTTTTTTAATACTAAATAACAAATGTATTTTCTGTAGAAGTGGAAAATCTTTTACAATGCAAGGAATAAATACACCAGGTTCGCTACAACGTGGTGTTATACCTCGATCATTTGAGGTAGAATAAAATTTTACAAAATTCTTAAACATTTAAAAGTTACAGAATGAATTAGAAGAAAATGTTTGTAGGATAAAGAATAGAAGCTAAATTTTAAATTCCATGACCCTTTTTTTTCTGTAAGTTGTAAGACAAAATGTTCGTTACTTTTATGATGTTTAGATTTTTTGTCGAACGTAAGAATTTTCATTGAAATTTATTCAAATAAAAAAAAAAAGAGAGAAGTGAAATAATTATTAGTAGTTCAATTCTGTTAATCGAAGTTTTCTTTTACATTTCATAGTAAAAACTGTTGCATTTTACAAATCAATTATAGTCACCAAACAGTTTTTGAAGTCCATTAGAAATCGATTCCAGTGCCACCCTCCAAATCTATCGCTGATTTGGATGGACTGTTGTTATTCAATTGGACTGAGACTGGTGCATGTCTAATTGTAAATCTTAATTCTAACTATATAAATACTTTTAATTTTTACAAGATTTTGTGAAACACAATTTAAGAAGAATGTTGAAGTATAGGAATAAAAAATTGGATCCCCCACAGACCGTGACAGAATGTTATTAATATACGATCAATAACGTCTCATTCTAATACATGAAGTTCTTTCTTATTGTATTCTTGAGCGATTAAATAAAAAGACTGATGAAGACATGTGTCCTAAAATAGATAGTATAAGACAATCTCTTCTGTAATTAACAACAGCAGCTACATTGCGTTTCATATTTTAATCCTACAGGGATTGTACTAACAGGTTTGATATAGTTGTCAATTGTACGAACATTTTGTCTTGTTAAATATCAAGTATTATTTTTAGCATATATTTGATGCATCATCAATAGCAAGTGGTACTAAATATCTTATTCGTTCATCTTATCTTGAAATATATAATGAAACTATTCGTGATTTACTTGCCAAAGATGTTAAAACAGCACTTGACCTCAAAGTAAAAATCAAAAAAATATTTATATGATTCTTTCTATTAATTATTCTTTTCAACAAAAAAATAAATAAATAAAAGGAACATCTTGATAAAGGTGTTCAAGTACAAAATTTATCATGGCATCCATGTTCAAGTGTAAACGATTGTGAACGTCTTATGGAAAAAGGAAATCGAAATCGTGCAACAGGTGCTACACTTATGAATAAAGATTCTTCTCGATCACATTCAATATTTACAATTGTTACGGAAATGTGTAAAAGAAGTGAAACTGATGGAAAAGATCATATTCGTGCTGGTAAACTTAATTTAGTTGATTTAGCTGGTAGTGAACGACAGTCAAAAACACGTAAAAAGAAAAATTCTTTGGTTTTTTTTTTCTATTTGAAAATGAATATGATATATTTATTTATATAGATGCTGAAGGTGAACGTTTACGTGAAGCAACTCGAATTAATTTATCACTTAGTGCATTGGGTAATGTTATTTCAGCATTAGTTGATGGACGTTCAAAACATATTCCTTATCGTGATTCAAAATTAACACGACTTTTACAAGATTCACTTGGTGGTAATACAAAAACATTAATGGTAAAATTCAATAAATATATTTTATAATATATAAATTATTAAATACTTTCTTTTTTTTAAGGTTGCTTGTATAAGTCCAGCTCATGATAATTATGATGAAACACTTTCAACATTACGATGTAAGTTTTATTATTTATTTATTAACTTTAAATAATAATATTCTATATATAGATGCTAATAGAGCAAAAAATATTAAGAATAAACCTCGTATTAATGAAGATCCACGTGATGCTCAAATGAAATTATTACAAGAAGAAATAAATCGTCT